TTACCTTTTCAAGCAACACTTCATCTTCCCCTTTACCGAAATAAACGATATCCATCACCTCCCGCTCATTGGGTCTATCTAACATCGCGAATCCTAATTGACAGCGCACCAGGATAGGGTTATAATTAATGCACCCCCTTATCCCCATAAGCGGGACATTGGGGAATTCTCCATACCCTATAATGATCTCTTTTAAACCTATCACACTTTTCCAAACAATATCATATGAGGTGAGTCCCATGATACGCTGAGACCATAAAGATGAATCGGCAGCATGAACAAAAGGCCCCTTTGTAGGCATATGCATCATCAACCATTTATAAAGCGCGATCGTGCCTCACATGACTTCCCCCTTCTTCCCATGTTGATAATGGATGGTGTAATAAGTGTCGGCGAGTAGAGTTGGTACGAGGTTACCGTTCATGAAGACATACAATGCAAATAGATGCACTAACTTCTCAGATACTGGAAAGAGGACCAAACCATAAATCATTGCTTCCAACAGTGCATTAAACATGGTCCAATTCATGTCCTTTACAAAACCCTTGGCCTTTGATATCAAGTAATTCAGAGGGAGACCGCTTGTTTCACTTTTGTTAATCCAATTACTTTTAACTTCACCATGAGTCAAATAAAGAGCTCTGGCGATCGCCATGTAGTATGGAGTCTCTGGTGCTCGAACAAAAGGAATATTGTTGGTTACCTTGACATCCATAATATGCGCATACTCTTCGAGAGTTTGTGCCAATTGATAGTCCTGGAAAGTAAAACAGCGTAGCTGCGGATCATAGAACTGAAGAAGTGTTCTTACGACCCATTCTTCAAAATCATCATTCACCAACGGCAATAAGTTTCCATACTGTCCTCTAAAAACTTTTTCATTTGGTCCCTTCACAAGAGCTCCCACCTCTCGCAATCGACCACCAAAGCATGGGAACTGATAAGCAGCAGTGTTCCTAAGAAGTTTTGAACTTGTCTTCATGTTGTTATCCATCTTTGATGCTGATGACAGACCCCAGAATAATCCTGGAAATGAAATGCAAATGCAGGTTAGACAGTTATATATTTTTTTCTTTTTTTGTGTTTCTTTTATAAAATAAATATGCCATGATGCAAGTGCAATAATCATAAGATCGAAGTTTCTGCATGCTGGATAGTTGCTGAACTGATAACAGAACCATTGTCATATGTAACAAGATCAAAGGTCCGGACCAAATCAAAATTTCAAGGATCAAAGTCATCAGTATTATCAGAGTCACCAACGAAACATGTATAATCACTGTTTGTACCTGTATAGATCATTCCCTCCCCACTCACGGGTAAAGACTAGGTCATGGTAAGGTCAATGGTAACTCAGAATCGAGGGTACTCCTAAAAAACTATCGCCATATCACCTACATGAAAATGATAGCCCCTCATTTGTACCTCATCTAAGCGTGGACGACATGACAGCATAGTGAAACCTAAGTCAACTATCCATTCATGTTCCACTCTATTCCTAGTGTTCCTATTGTTTCCACTTGGCCTGGGTATTGGGCCTTTTACCTCATAGTAACGTCCCACCCATCAAGAAATAGAGAAGCCAACAAAATAACAATATAACAAATAACAATAATGATGCAATGCAAACATATGCTCAAACGTATACAAATGAATAATCCATAAAAGCATAATGATAAACACCCTAAGAAATTAAAAACGGGAGCTAGGAGTGACTCACGGGATGGACTAGCAATAGGTCGACATTGAATTCCCCACTGAAGTCGCCATTTTTCTGTAGCGGTAAAATCAATGAAGTCGCCGCCGAGTATTTATTTATCCCATATGAAAGGGAAAGGAAAATCATCAAAGAAAACCTAAAGGGGAAATCAAGGTCTTGCAATCGATAGATTGGCTAAGGGAGTCGATTACGCGAGGGGAAGGTATTAGCACCCCACACGTCCATAGTACTCTACGGAATCCACTCTCGTCATTCTAATCAAAGGGTGTGTTCAATCTAATGCTTAAGGGTTATAAACTAAGAGAGAATTCATGCAAAGAAAAGAGAAATAATGTAGGGAAAATAAAGTTGTACTCGCTTGGGCCCTACCCCAATGCCTACGTATCCTTTTTGAGGAATCCGAGCTACCGTAGTTCGGCTCATATATTTTGTTTGTTTGTTCTTTTTAAATGAACAATGTTGCATTCGATCATTCCACCACTACTCGACCTTTGGAGACTTATGACCTGTAGTGGAAAGGAGCTAACATGCTCTTAGAAGAGAAAAGCCGAATGGCGAAAGGAAATGGATTGGTTGGTATCTTTTTACCATGAAAAGAATTTTTGTGTGACTAACATTTCTTATATATTTGCCAAGAGAAAGAAGTTTTAGGTTTAAATGAAATTATGAAAAAACGAGAAGAAAACATCTAAGGGAGACTAACATATCTCTAACCTAATGTTATCAAACAATGAGGGATCCTACCTAAGTTAGCATGCCAAAGAGAGTCGAACAAACTATCCTATAGGGAACATGCGCTGAGAGCGAAGTCGTGATCTCAATTTCTAAATTGAGTGATTCATTGATCAACAAGAAATAAAGGAAAGCGATAAAATCCTATAGGGAGCATGCACTGAGAGCGAAGTCGTGATCTCAATTTCTAAATTGAGTGTCTCATCAATCAACAAGAAAGGAAGCAAACATAAGCACAACACATAACAGAAATAAAGTGCGGAATGCCTGCTACATGTCTTTAAACAATGACTTCGAGCGCACGCTCTTTATTTCCCGCTTCTCATGATATCTAGAAAAGCAATAAATACGGAAATATAACTTGGAAGCAGTATAATACCAAACGTAGAATGTCCTCAAAAAGTGAAACCAAGGTAAAGAAATCTGAGATACTTCGTGTGAGCTAACGGAGAAAGTATGTTTCCTCTTTAAAGCCAAGCAAATAAGAGATCAAATGAGTTAGTCTCCAAGAACTTCCATATTGTCAAAGTTGCATAAGCATTCTATCGCAAAATCTTAGCTAGAAATGACAACGAAAACGATTATCAAACATGAAAATAATAGAAAATTCTAATGAAAATTCTAAAGGGAGATCTTAAAGATTTCTAAAATGTTCTATCCCTTTCTTTGTATCATTTTAATCATTAAAATCATGGAAAAGATGAAGCTAAAACTAATAAAACATGGGAAGATAAGAGTATGGTAGAAACAGAGGGGGTGTATTGCTAAATTTAGGAGTATGGTGCAGTAAACTTTAGGCGTAGAGGCCCAAACATGTGATAAGCCCAAGATTTTTTTGTTGCTAGGCACTTAGCTTCCAAAAAAAGGAGTAACGGGCTTCAGAAAACCAACGCATGGCCTCATCTTCAAGCCCAGCCATTTCCAACTCAAACCCACGTTCAGATTTTTATGAATTTTATCAATTCATAATAAAAACAAAATGAAATGAGAGAAAAAGTGGTGCGTTTTGGTTAACTAGTAGGGTTAGAAGCTTTGCCTCTTCAACTTTTTCTCTTGCATTCTCATCGTGGCCGCAAACAACACCACCTAGATCAACGGCCAAACCACCTCTAATCTCGAAATTCTAAAGACCAATACTACCTGATATCTAACCCTGATCCCAAATATACCATCATTTTTCTTCAAATTTGTCTTAATACTCCTAATTTCAATACGAAATTGCAAACCCTAGGATTGCTAAATGTGAAATAAATCATCATGGAAGCAAATCGAGTCCCGAGACCTTGGGGAAATAACTCAGGAGGTCTCAGGCTATATGCTGGTATAAAAAAGATAAAGAAAATATGAAGAATGGAATAAGCACCACCTACTTATCGGGGACGCTCCGACGATGATTCCACGGTGACAATAAAGAATCAAAAACCCTGCTCCAACCTGCAAACTCTTCAAGTAACTCGTATTGCTCTTAACTCTTCCTACTTCTCCATCCGATCCTGCTTCTGTCTACTTCTTTTCCAATTTATGTGCGTTGCTGAGAAGTGATTGGCGCGTTTCTGGCGCTAATGCGAAATCGAGAGTGCAACTGAGAAATAAACTCAGAGCGAAGGTTGAATGACTGAGCGAGGAAGATGAGTGTTGCAGAGATTTACGAGGAGAGTGATGATGGCGTGATGGAGCTTCTTGTGAACTTTGATGAACAGAGCATGTAAATGATGATGATGGAGGTGAAAGGTGGAGGTGAAGGATTGAAGGTGATGGATTGAAGGTGATGATGAGGCTGAAGAAAGACAATAGAGAAGTTTTTTTCTGGTTTTTTTGTGTGATTATTCTCAGATTGTTCAAGAATGGAGATCAAGATGAGAGGAGAATAAGGAGTTTTCGATGGTCATTCTTCTATAGAGGTTGAAGAATGATGATGAAGATGATGTTAAAGGAAGATTGTCGATGGAATAATGAATGAGAAGAGTCCAGGTTTTATTCCCCTTTTTTTATTTTTTATTTATGTTATGAAATTCTGCAATAAAGCAGTAGAGATTTTGTTAGAAACTGTTGCAGAGTCGGTTCAGAATCATTAGCTGGAAGTTTGTTGAGTTTGTCAAAAAAAAGTTAAGAGGTTAAAGCTGTTGGGAATTTCTGTTATGGAGGTTATAGGTTGTCAGGAGATGGTTACAGGGCTGTTAGGAAACAATTGCGATTCAGTTAGTTCATTTTCTTCTTTTCTGCTTTCTGACATTTCCTTTTATATCTTCTGATTTTCTAATGCAAGGCTGTATCACAATTTGTACGATATCTGTTGGTTTTGATTCTTTAGCTTATCACCGGCCACCAAAAAGTAAGCAGTGTGCCTGAAGAAGTTCATCATTTTGATCTTTGAGTGATAGAAAATGGTCGATGTCTACCAATTAGAGCAGGATGTCCTCTTCTTTTTTAGGGTATTCAGACAGAAATCAGCACTTTCGTCTTCCTTTTCATGTTTTGAACAAGAAGCAACTAGATCAATATGACCTTTCCTTTTTTTTCATGTTTGAAGGATCCAATCGTTCACTCTTCATTTTGAGGGTACTCCGACAGAAATCTCACCCGTAATGTGAACTAAAACCCTAGCGAAATCTTTTGTAGACGGAACTTCGCTATCAGATGGCCCCAAATGTCTTTCCATTGATGCGGGGACCTGCCATAGGTGGTTTTCAGAAAGATGCAAAGAAGAAGTGCAGCCCGGCAGTTCAATATTCCTTCCAGAAAATGTCATTTCACTTTCTATGCCTTTGTAATGATTTGAGGCTGGAATTGCATTCCTCTCATCAGATTTTAAAGAACAAGAAGAAGTGATGTTAGAAGTATAAGTGGTCTTCCCATAGTCTAGAAGACCCATCCATATACTGTGTCGAATAAGCACAAGCTCGTCATTCCCTGTCTGAATTGGATTGGTATCCATTAGAGTAGAATTGGGAAGATTGTTCCATGTTTGATTTGTGTAAGTTGCAGCAATTGGTTCATAAGAATTATTTTCAGAAGCAAGTGGATCAAAAGTTTGCATTTTATAATTACTAGTGTAGTGGTAGATTGTGGTAAAGGAATAAAAGATTGTGTTGTAGTAATTAAGTTATTGTAATCATAATCTGGCACTTGAGTGTTTGCTTCAATCTGACCAACTTCTGGAATATACATTTCACCCTCAATTAAATCTTTGATAGAGTCATCTTGTACATTTGGTTCTTGCATTTCAAGTAATCCAAGAAGGTAGTCAACATCATCATCCCTTGAGATTAGAGGTTGTTGATATTTTGGGCTACAAGAACCATATTGCACAACTTGTTGACTAGATAACTTAACTTGAGGGATTGGTGTATCCAAAAGGTTATTGGTAGCAATGAAGAATGTGGAATCCTAAAAAAAAGTGACATAGGGTGATGTGGCTGGTTTTTGGATGTAATTGAATTTTGGTTTATGGACTTTGATGTAATATATTCATAAGTTGGATTGAAATTGTCACTTTTATGTAATTTTGAATGGTTGAAAATGTATATGTTCTAGCTCTTGATTTTGTAATAGCCATGGTTGAATCAAGAAAAGAGACTTTGAATTAATTCACTTGTCTTTGAATTTATTCTCTTATGCTTGTATCTTGAATGAATCGCGATCCCTTCTTTAACCTCAAGTTCAAAATCTTCTTTTTGTATCTCAAACATAATCCAAATTCTAAGCAAGGCCAATTGATGAATTACTTATATTATGAGTACAAGAAAACCAGGAAGATTATCCACAAGTCCCGTAACATCTCTCGCATATATCTTGTTCTTCAAGCAAGTTAAATGACTTATCCTTGAATCACATTAAAAACTTCTATTCCATGTTCATCTTAAATCGATCCTTAATGCAACTCAAGTGTTCATGACAAGTCGAAACTCAGTTGGCTTCAAATGGCATGCTTGGTCAATGAACCTTAATCTCAATTGAATCCATAAATTCTAGTCATCTTGCATTTGAAACAACCATCTTTCATTTGATAAAATGAGCTAAATAAGCTCCTGACCCTATCTTGAATGAATCGCTAACAAAGTCATGAACTTAATAAGCCCTTGAATCAATATTAACCCTAAGCACGATTAGAAGTTTCAACGAATCCAAATCACTAGTCATTTCTCTCATAGCCCAAGTTAACTTGCAACCGAAGTAACAAGTACTTGATGAGAACCAAAAACTATATCATTCAAAACAAGTCCACAATGTTGAAGAAGGAGAAGTTCAAGATAACCACAAGATTGAGCCCTAATCCAATGATCCCTAGTTGAAGCATAACAGAAGAAAACCCTAATTCTTAAGCATTGAAGAAAGATTGAAACTTGATGTTAAGGAGAGAGAATATCCCTGTAGTTTGATGGTAAAGAAGTCCAGGAAATAAAATCCTAGTTCGAACAAATGATCGATGGAGAAATCAACCGAAACAAGCTTGTGCGAAGATAAGAGCCTTAAAGCCATAGAACAAACCTAATTCCTCGAAATTCCTGATCCCAAGTCAAACTATTGACTAATGATGCGTGATGCGTGAGATGACCTAATGAAGGTTATATACCTCACTCTCCATTAAATCCACAGATTCTAGTCACCTTGCATTTGAAGCGACCAACCTCCATTTGATGAAATGAGCTGGATGAGTTCATATCCCATAGTTTACCCAACGGTACATATCTAAACTTGAAAAAACTCAAAGCAATCTTTCAGTATGGAAAAAGTAGCGCTCAATGTAGCCTTGAAGTGAGACTTGAACTCAATAAAGCTCCATAGAAGAGTCCTTACCAAGCTTAAACAAAATGAAGAGAACTCCTGATTCTCTGGCTGAGTTAGGCCCTAATGCCTTTATTCCTTAAAAGAACCCAAGAAAAGTGAGAGTGCCAGTTGAATCAATTTTGAGCAAGACGACAACCTCCATTCCGAGAGAGAAACCCTAATGCCAAAGTGATTCGATCTTATGACCATGAGACCAATGCTATGTGCAAAATGTACAAAGTATGATGAGGGATCTTAGGGGCAAAAATTGGGGTACAACAATATGCAATCTCACTAACCATTTCAAGGATTTAGGAATTTATCTTTGTTTTTGTTTTGTAGGCCATGAACTTCGTCCGAAGAAACACCATTTGAATCAGCTTCGTGAAAGCACACCCTCAGCTCCAAGAGTTAGCATCAAGGGTGCCCGAAGATTCTTCTTTTACCAAGAAATATGGACGACTCCTCAGTTTGGCTACCTTCAATTTCCAAGAAGAAATGATGTGCGTGCTCTTCCAATTCTTTGATCCCATACATCATTGCTTCACCTTTCCCGACTATCAGTTGGTACCTACGCTAGAAGAGTTCTCTTTACTATTAGTAGTTCCCGTGCTTGATCATATACCATTCACCAGTCTAGAAGGGATCCCGAAACCCGAGGTCATGGCCGAAGCTTTATATCTGAAGAGAGCCGACATCATAGCAAATTGGGAGACTAAAAGCGGAGTTAAAGATTCCTAGCCAAATTTATATTAGAGAAAGTTCGTTCATTCTGGGAAGATATGGATTTTCAAGCCTTTAAAGATGTCCTGGCCCTTCTCATCTATGGTCTGGTTCTTTTCCCCAATTCATAGATGTAAATGCCATCAAGGTCTTTCTCTCCCGTAATACTATACCTACCTTATTGGGAGACATCTTACATTGCATCCATACCTGCACCATGAAGAAAAGAGGTACCCTTTTGTGTTGTATTCCCCTACTCGCCAAGTGGTTCATTTTACACTTACCTCAATCAACATTGAAGAACAAGTAAATATTGACATGGTCTCAAAGGATGATGTCCCTCACCCACTCTGATATTCATTGGTGTTTAAGATCCTCAAATGATACTTCTATCATTGACCGTTGTGGGTAATTCCCTAACGTCCCTCTACTTGGCGTTAGGGGAGGTATCACTTATAACCCTTGCTTAGATTTACGACAGTTTGGGTATGCCCGAAGAGATGGTCCTTATGAGATACTCATCCAAGGTTTGGTGTTCGACTACGAAAGCGACGAACAAGGCTACCGTCAGAGGTTCATGCGAGCTTGGGGCATGGTACATAGAGTTGATAGCAAGACACTGGGGCACAAGAATTCCATACCTCTTGAGCCTTATCTCAAATGGGTACGAGCCCGTGCTCAAAGTCTTATGATGCCTTACCCCTCCATTCTTCCAGTTATCCTAGAGCCTATTATGAAAGGAGATGTCCCGTACACTATCCTTCATCCTAACATGCCCACCTCTCTCGAAGACTTGCAAAGGGATTGGATACAACTTAAGGAAGAGAGATACACTTTTAAAGCCCAATTCTATGCCAGCGAGAAGAAAGTTCTGGAACTCACCAAGCAGCTTCATGAAGAGCGGAGTCTGAACGCCTACATCGCACCGAAGAGGATGCGTTCAACTTTTTTGTCTTAAAGTTTTGTATTTTTATTTCTTTGTAAAGCCCAAATAGGCATGATGTATTCAAACTTTGATTTATTAATATAACATGTGTTCCTTTTTTGTCTAAAGCAAATTTAAATCTCTAATTTCCTTGAAATCATTTGCATATGCATCATCATGCATCATATCATGACAGGTTTCTCCCATACAGGCCTCCTTATCTTCCTACTGTTTATTTCAGTAGAGATGGCCCTAGAATAAACCATCAAGGACATCCAGGCTCAAAACGCTCGACTTCAAGAGATGTTCTTGAACCTATCCAAGGGACAAGAAGAGGTAAAGGTGCTCCTCACAAGGGGCATGGTCCTGGGAAATCCTGGGGACGACAGAGATGACCAGTTGGAGCGGTTACAAACCGAGATAGCCGTAATGAAATTCCAAATGATGGGACAACTGGTGGGCCACATGGATCTTATCCAAAATATAGCTCAAGGACAAGAAGAGCTTAAAGTTCTTGTCAACCAACTTCGTCAAGACGGTTACAACCGTATGGGGAAAACAACCTGAATTGGAGATCAAGTCACTGCTCAGCCTCCCATGCGACATGAAGTCAGTTTAGTGGAGAGTAAACTGTTCCAAATTGCTGCCACGTCTCGAGTCCAACAACAATCTCGCCAACAACAACAAAGGAATCAGCGCAAGGAGGTCGCACCTAAGAGACAATTTACCAGGATTGGCATGTCTCTAGCTCAGGTGCTACAACACTTGTTGAAGGCAGAGATAATTACATTAAAGGATCCTCCCAGGAATCCTAACAGTGCTGCTCCTAGTTACCGTCCCAATGAGAGGTGTGCATACCATTCTGACAATCTCGAGCATGACATGAACAATTGTTGGGCTCTGAAGAACAGGATTCGAGACCTAATTGACGAAGGAGTGTTGGAGTTTACACAAGACTATCAATTGGAACTCTTTTATCACCCTTCAAGGGCATCCACATGAAGCGACGACCAGGGCGAGGAAATTTTCTGTTCATTTGAATTTTCAAGTTGTAATCTCTTTATTATTTAAAAAATTATCTATTAATGTCAAACTTCGTTTCATTAATGCATTGCACATGTTTATCCTGAATTCATCCATTCGTTTTCACTATATTTAAACTATACTTTTTGCTCTCTTTATGACATTCAACTCTTGCTAAAAGTTACAAGCCTTTAGAGGGAGGATGACGAAAACAATGCCATAATCTCATATAGTATGCTTTTGAACAAACCTTGCTGATGATGTACATGCGTTCTTTCAAATCCCAAACATGGGAGTTATAAGGAGGATAATCCCTAGTCAACCCCTTCGAGCCAAAGAAGTAGAAGTTTTCTTTTTTACACAAATTGAAACCTTTAATCAAAACCTGGGGCATGGTAGTCTCTCAGTTAATTCAAATGTGCATTCACTTCATATACAACGAGTGATATCAAAAACATTCCTATGGAATCAAAAGGCGATGATGGTTCCCTATCATATAGGCAGTCATTATCTCTCAAAAAAGAAAAGCCCACTAAGTCAAAAAACTACAAAGAAGACTTAAGAAAAACAGGGGCATCCCGCTGACTGTAATCTCAAAA